AGAGGGAGAAGATTGTTGGGGTTGTGTAAAGGGATGGGGAAGGGTTGTTGGGGAGGTTGTGTTGGAGAGAGGGAGAAGGTTGTTGGGAGTTGGACGATGGGGGAGGGTTGTGGGGGAGAAGGTTGTTGGGGATTGGAGAGGGGGAGAAGGGGTTGTAAAAGGAGGGAGAGGGTTGTGTTGAAGAGGAGGAGAAAGTTGTTGCAGGGATGTGTTGGTGAGTGCGAGAAGATTGTGGGGAGGGTGGGTGAGGGTTGTGTTAGAGAGAGATTAGGGGTTGTGAAAAGGAGGGAGGGTTGTGTTAGTGCGGGAGGAAGAAGAGGGTTGTTTTATCGAGGGAGAAGGATTGTTTTGGAGGAGGGAAAGGGTTGTGTTGGGGGGAATAGGAGGGGATGAGCTGTGTTGGAGGTGGGTGGGGAAGATTGTGTTGGTTAGAGAAAGGGTTATGTTGGTAGAAATGAAAAGGGTTGTGTTGGGGGTAAAGGGAGAGAAAATAAAGAACAAGAAAAGGATCAAACGCAAATTAAAGGACATATTCGAAAATGGTTTCAGTCCCAAAAGCTCAGATATCTCGACTGCTTGATTCCGAGAACATGAATTTTTCTGTTTCACCTTTCATTAACTCTCTTTGCCGTTCGAGAGGGTGAGGGCAAGGAAGGAGCCGGGAAAGGGATCAAGATGAAATAAAGGAGCGGTCACATGGGCCTTTTTTCAACGATAAGTCAGAGGTAACTTCCGAGTCCACATGATCTACTACTTGGTCGAAAGTAGATGCAGTAATAGATATATATAATATTTTATGTAACGTGCGGAATCAGAGAGACGGACATGTTGTTTGATTAGAAAAGAAGAGTGAGCTACAACAATAATAATCATATATATTTCAGTTAATATGATTTTTAAATAGATATTACATTTTATATCCTTATTTTTTGTCCAAGTGCTTGTTATTTTTTACACGGAAATCCATTCGAAAGTATCCAAGACGTTATCCTTGTTTACATACGCGTGTCTCCCAAATTTCTCAAAGGAGCTTGCCTATATTCACCCTCCAAACGAAGATCTTGCAGCAGGAACAACACATTTTCACTGTTTCCTCTCTTCAGCCACGAACGAAACCCGCGTACGTCATTTTAGCAATCGCTGAGCCTCTATTTCTACTTACGATGGATGACAAATAACATGCGTAGAGGGCCGTGGACGCCATGCTTGTTGCTGAAATCGAGCGGAAGGATCAGTTCGCCCGGGTGGCAGTAAGGGGGACATGGAATGCCGATCGGATCACAAACGGGTTGCTGGAAAAAGGCATACGTGTGACCGTGCCTTAACACGATTCAGTGGAGCATGGCACACACACACACACACACACACACACACACACACACACACACACACACACACACACACACACACACACACACACACACACACACACACACACTCATCCATATATACATACAAACTTACACATTTACACACACATAAGCGCACACACATTTATATATACATACACGCACACATGTGTGTATGTGCGTGCGTGCGCGCTTGTGTGTGTGTATGTGTATATATATATATATATATATATATATATATATATATATATATATATATATATATATATATATATATATATGTATATGTATATATATATATATATATATATATATATATATATATATATATGTATGTATGTATGTATGTATGTATGTATGTATATATATTTTTTTCAACAGCCATTCATTCCACTGCAGGACATAGGCCTCTCTCAATTTACTATTCAGAGGTTACATGGCAGTGTCACCCTTGCCTAATTGGATGCCTTTCCTAATCAACCGCTAACACTTGTGCCACGACAGTGACTTCCCCTACGACACTTGCGTTTGACTTCTCAAGGCGATATGTCGTTTTCTCGGGCTCGAGTCAGCTGTCAGAGCGCAGGCATTTTTATGACCGCCGCGACGGGAATTGAACTTGGGACCACGAGGGTCGGAGTCCAGTGCTCTAACTACTGGACCATCGTGGCAGTCATATATATATATATATATATATATATATATATATATATATATATATATATATATATATATATGTATGTATGTATGTATGTATCTATATACATACATATATATATATATATATATATATATATATATATATATATATATATATATGTGTGTGTGTGTGTGTGTGTGTGTGTGTGTGTGTACATACACACACATACACACATACATACATACGTGTATATATGTATATATATATATATATATATATATATATATATATATATATATATATACATATGTATACATATGTATATATATATATATTTGTACATATATATGTGTGTGTGTGTGTGTGTGTGTGTGTGTGTGTGTGTGTGTGTCTGTGCCTTTGTGTGTGCGCGCATGCGCGCTCACGCGAGCGTGTATGCGTGTGTGTCTGTGCGTGTGTGTACAAATGTACATCGTTACGTCCACGACGGCACGCCAAGATCTCAAGCGAAAACAACAATAATTGGCAATATCTGTGACGCCAGTCAAGGTGAATCACGATGCATCATTTTTGTCCGTCGCAATATGACTTTTGGCGGCGCCGTGTTGACGACAACTGATGATCCTGATTTCGTCTGAGGCATTTCTTTATTGCTTTCGAATGTTATAGGGAGAGTAGTGTGGAAAGATCAGATACAGGTTCTAGAATCTGATTTTTCGGGGGGAAGGAGGGTTAATTTCTCATTTTCTTGTCTTCTTTTCTTTTTCTTTATGTTTTCGCTCTCTCTCTCTCTCTCTCTCTCTCTCTCTCTCTCTCTCTCTCTCTCTCTCTCTCTCTCTCTCTCTCTCTCTCTCTCTCTCTCTCTCTTCTCTCTTCCTTTGTATATACGTATGTACATATATGCGTATATGCATTCATACGTATATACGTATATATATATATATATATATATATATATATATATATATATATATATATATATATATATATATATATATATATATATATATATATACTCACACACACACGTGTATGTGTGTCTGTGTGCGAACGTGCAAACCAACCCGCACGCGAATGTTCCTAAGCGCCACTCCATTCACGAGAGAGTCCGCCGCGCGCCTCGAAACTGGCCTCCATCAGCTGTCTGTCCTCTTCCGCAAAGTCGCCGGTAACCAGCCTCCTCCGCCTGCCCTCTGCGCACAAAGGGGAGAGAGGAGGAGGTGGAGGAGGAGGAGGAGGAGGAGGAGGAGGAGGAGGAGGAGGAGGAGGAGGAGGAGGAGGAGGAGGGGAGGGGAGGAGGAGGATGAAGAGGAGGAGGAAGAAGAAGAAGAAGAAGCTATGGAGAAGGAGGAGGAGGAGGAAGAGGAGGAGGAAGGGGAAGAGGAAGAGAGAGAGAAAGAGAAAGAGGAAGAAGAGGAGGAGGAGGAAGAGGAGGAGGAAGGGGAAGAGGAAGAGAGAGAGAAAGAGAAAGAGGAAGAAGAGGAGGAGGAGAACTCGGGAAGCACTCTGTCCCAACTATGCTTTTCCCGGAGCTTCTGTGACACACCCGAGCTTTTAAAACTATCTATAGAGTTGAGACCGTTGCCATGACGCCCACTCGTTCAGACAGGTGGGAATGGGGGGGGGGGAGGTAGGAGGAAAGGGGGGGAAGGGATGGGGGAGAGTGGGAATAGGGGAGGGTCCTCGACTCCTGCTTTGGAAAAGGTAGGGATGGTTCGATTTGGTTTTTATTTTTTTTTAATTTATATACTTTTTTTAATGCATGAGTGGAGGGGGGAGGGACTCTCGCAGTTAGTACTCTTTGCATTTTTGTATTTGCCAAAAATGTTGATGGCGTTTTTGGCGTGGTTCTGGGAAATTAGAGAGTAAGAGAGGAAAAGCGAGAGAGAGTGACAGCAAGAGCGAGATCGAAATCGAGAGGCAGACTGACTGACTGAGTGACTGACTGACAGATAGACAAAAGGGTAGATAGATAAATAGATAGATAAATAAAGGAGAGAGAGGGGAAAGTGGTCACACACACACACACACACACACACACACACACACACACACACACACACACACACACACACACACACACACACACACACACACACACACACACACACATCCACACACACACTCACACACACGCGCGCACACGCACACGCATAGGCACACGCATCGCACACGCACACGCACACGGCACACGCACACGCACACGCACACACACACACACACACACACACACACACACACACACACACACACACACACACACACACACACACACACACACACACACACACACACACACACACACGTTCTATTTAAAAACTGGATTGCAGAAATATCTTTAAAAAGGTTGTTCGTGTTATTTTTTACTTCATTTTTCATGGCCATTCGTAATTTTATTCTAATTCCAATTTTACTTCTAATTCTTAGTTTTTTGTTTTGACTTTTACTCTTATCTTTATGTTTATATTTGTTCCATTTCCCGTTCCCATTATATCAGTTATTCTCATCTTTATTTTCTCCTCCTTCTCTTCCTTCTCCTCCTCCTCCTCTACCTCCTCCTCCTCCTCCTCCTCCTCCTCCTCCTCCTCCTCCTCCTCCTCCTCCTCCTCCTCTACCTCCTCCTCTACCTCCTCCTCTACCTCCTCCTCCTCCTCCTCCTCCTCCTCCTCCTCCTCCTCCTCCTCCTCCTCCTCCTCCTCCTCCTCCTCCTCCTCTACCTCCTCCTCTACCTCCTCCTCTACCTCCTCCTCCTCCTCCTCCTCCTCCTCCTCCTCCTCCTCCTCCTCCTCCTCCTCCTCCTCCTCCTCCTCCTCCTCCTCTTCCTCCTCTACCTCCTTCTCTACCTCCTCTTCTACCTCTTCCTCCTCCTCCTCTACCTCCTCCTCCTCCTCCTCTACCTCCACCTCTACTTCCACCTCCTCTCAAAAAAAAATCGTTTTAAAATGTACCCTTCTTGATCTCCGCAGCGCCCCATTGTATATCCGATCTCTCTCTCTCTCTCTTCCTCACAG